CATTGACCCCCCCCACCACAAATCACAAACCACAGCAAGCCACAAGACATTAAATCAGAGGTGGGCAAAGGAACTCAGGAGCCAGTCTGCCCAATCCCGGGGTCAGCTCCATGACTCCAAAAAGGTAGGCGCCAGCTGTACTCCTGAAGGAGCATTGGCGACCCGGCTCCTGGGATTTGTCCAGCCCTGTGCCAATTCCATATAGAACTCCAAATCATCATCTGCAAAGCAAAACAATTGTGACAAAGCAAACCCTTCCTCTACCAGAGTGTGCCGGCCCACACCGAGCCCGGCCCCACACCGGACACGGCCCACACAGGGACCAGCCCACACAGAGCCCGGCCCCACACCGGACACGGCCCACACAGAGACCAGCGCCGCCCGGCCCCACACCGGACACGGCCCACACAGAGACCAGCTCCGGCACTGAGCACATTGCACACATCCCACGTCTCTCAGCATCCCAGCGCCCCCCTCTAGCACTCATTCATGGGGGGAGGAGCCGCACGGTGCAAACAAACCTTGTTGTGAATGTAAAAAAAAGACGATCAAAACGGGAACGCCGCAAAGGCGTCACGCAGGAGGATGGTGAACTTCATGCAGCGGAAGGGGAGGTGGGTGAGATCGCCGTCCATACATCCGAGAAAAAGAGAGAGCGCGGGGGGCGGCGTCACATGGAATGGGGCCCACCTGCAACGGCAAAAACAGAAACATGTCTGAGACATTGCACAGCACATATATGCTGCAAAGCAGGAGGCTGTCAGGAGGATAGGCGTTCCGGGGTAAGAAGGAGGCTGTCAGGCGGTTATGTAGTCTGGGGTAAGAAGGCAGTCAGGCGGTTATGTAGTCCGGGGTAAGAAGGCAGTCAGGCGGTTATGTAATCCGGGGTAAGAAGGCAGTCAGGCGGTTATGTAGTCCGGGGTAAGAAGGCAGTCAGGCGGTTATGTAGTCCGGGGTAAGAAGGCAGTCAGGAAGATATGTACTAAGGCAGTCAGGAAGATATGTACTCCGGGGTAAGAAGGCTGAGAGGAGGATTTGTAGTCCAGGGTAAGAAGGATTTGTAGTCTGGGGTAAGAAGGCTGCAGTGTAACATTGTATCAGCATGACTGCAGAGGGAGGGAGAGGCAGAGAGAGGAGCAGCTGTGAGTCACTCTTCACCATGTGGCCTATAGGAGGCGCTGTGCTGCAGCTTCCCCCCATCCCCCACCCTGCAAGAGCCTAACCTAGCACAGAATGCGCCCCCTACTGGACTGTGGGGCGGCTCTCCTCTCCTCCTCGGTGACACGGCTGCAGTGCATTTTGGGTGGAGGCAGGCTTTAGATTTTTTACACACACACAATCTGTGTC